CGAGGCCACCGTACAGCGAGGCGGTGTACATGTTACCGCATCGGCGCACAGTGTCCATGCCGGGCTCGAGCTTGGACTGCTGGAGCTCCTTGCCGTAGGCGGCGAAGGCCTTCTCGACGTCCTTGTTGGTGATGGTCGACTTGCGGTCGAGCTCGGCAAACTCGGCGGGGATCGAGGCGAACTTGTCGTTCTTGGGATCCGAGACAAAGTCGTTGTAGAGAAGACGGCCGAAACCCTTCTGGACGAGCTTCGAGTAGGGGCTGTGGAAGAGCGTGTAGTCAAAGTCGTCGACCTTGACCGAGGCAAGGTTGGAAGCGTCCGAATGGCCGTTGACGCCGTTGGCGGCGCCGTTGCGCAGCTTGGCGGCGCGCTTACGGTAGGCATCGTAGGCCTTGTCGAGGCAGCCGAGGTAGGCCTGAATGGTCTCGGGGCCGTCGACCTCGGGGTACTCGGACGAGAGGTTGGGCTTGTAGAAGTCCCAGAAGTTGCTCATGTGCGTGCCGTGCGCGGGCTCGAAGACGAGCGGAGCGTCGGGGCCGATGAGCATGGCGACCGCACCGGCACCACCGACGGGACGAGCCGAGCCCTCGGCGTAGATGGCAATGTCGCCGGCAACAACGATGGCGTCGCGGCCGTCCCACGAGCTGCTCTCAACCCAGTTGATGGCGTTGAAGAGGGCGGCGGTACCACCGTAGCAGGCGTTCTTGCTGTCAATGCCCTCGATGTCGTTGTTGCCAGCGGGGGCGAAGAGGTCCATGAGGACGGTCTTGACCGACTTGGACTTGTCAATGATGGTCTCGGTGCCGACATCGAGGCGACCGATGCTGCGAGGGTCGATGTTGTTCTTCTCGAGCAGACCCGAGACGACGGAGAGAGCAAACGAGTTGATGTCCTCGCGGTCGTCGGTGCAGGCCATGTACTTCTGGCCGAAACCGATAGTGTACTTGCCCTTGGCTACACCGTCAAAGTCCTCGAGCTCATCTTCAGAGATGCACTGTGAGGCGGGGCGGCATTCCGAGGCAGCAGCAGACAAAGCGGGCGAGAAAAGGTCAGCAAGACGCTATTGCGAGCCGTGCACAGCGTCGCGGCAAGGACGGATGGGAGCAGCGCGTACGTACCCTCCTGGGGAAGTAGATCTCGATGGCCTTGATTCCGACGTTCTGGGGACGAGCCGACATGTTGAGATGTGGACGGATGGTGTTGGGTTAAGGAGTGTGGGTGAGCCTAAGCGGTGAAAGAGGTCCTAAGGGAGGGTGCACTGATGGTGGTGGAAAGGGTTGGAGCAACGATTCCGGAAGTCAAGGCACCACACACGCTCACTTGACTTGGCCGTGGCTCAATCGATGCGACGTGGGACACGCAGGCGATACAGGAGCTGGCCAATCGATGCAGGCGCCCAGCTGCTTCTGCTGCACAGGCCGCGACGAGCAACACTTTGGCCGACCCGCAGCGCGAGCAGTTGCGCACAACCGCCACCGACTCTCCAAACCACTTCTTCTTGCTGCATATCCGCCCACACTCACACGCGCCTGGCCATTGCGCACCGCACGGGTGAGCCAGGCGAACCAGCGGTCAAACGTTTTCGGCCACTTTTGAAGACACACTTGTGGCCAACCCACGCGTGCCTCCAGAGCCGTACGCTGAAGATTTCCATCAATCAGGCCATCAGGAAGTTTTGGGCGGCCAAAAAAAATTAAGAATGGAAAAGACTGGCCAAGTGGCTGACCGGACGCAGAAGAAAGTGCAAACAGAGCTCGCGTCTGCAGCGGCGGCCAGCAGAGTGTCACTTTTTGGTGACCTTGAGCGTGGACTGCGCGTGTGAGCCTGGTGCGTCGCGCTTGCGCCTCTGCTTGGCCAGTCGGTGGCAAAGCGCCCCGAATGCGTTGAAAATCGTGCCATTTGTGCAAGCGAGGCCTGGCAGGTCTCAGCTGTGAAGCGCCGATACCCCGGCTGGCTGCCCGTTGAAACCCAACAAGGGGCCAGCCAGCCATCCAGGCCAAAGCTGTGCCTCCAAATCCCCGTCGAATCACACCGTCACTTTGACGTCCTGCTGACCTGGCGATTCGAGCCTCGGTGCGCTTGTGTGCGGCTGCAGGTTCGGATCCACAGCCTCAGTGTTCGTCGTCGTAGTCCTCTTGTGGCTCCAGCGACACCGACCGACTCTCGGAAGGATCACTGTACGAAGGGCCCAGCTTTGGCTGAGCGTTAGCGGCACCACATGGTCTCGGTAGGGCCAGTGTTGAGTCTCTTACTTTGGGCTCGGGTTGCTGCGAGCTGCTCCGACGAAGAAAGTGGGCCGATTTTTTGGCCAAAGCGGCAGCGTCCGATGTCACCCGCGTCCAAGAACTTCGGAGAATCGGTCAACGAGGTTAGATCGGGGAACGAGGGACACCCGATAGCAGATCTCTTTCGCTCGCTCATCCTCAGCAGCGCAGCGGTTCGCACACTAATCTCAGCATAGACAGCATCTCCGTGACATTGCAGAAGGACGATCGAGATAGGAAGGAGTCGAGACAGAGCATGCTCAGTTGTCCGTCGCGCCGAATGCAGGACCACTGGCCTGAGCGGCAGTGTCGTCGGCGTTCAGACCGCCGTCCTCGTCACCGGGCCAGTCGTCCTCCTTGAGGAAGGCGCAGATTACCGTTCGTCCGCCGAACTGCCTTCCAGCGATGGCCTTGAGCGCCTGCGCACACTGATCCGTCTCGGCGTAGCGCACATAGACGCGGCCCACGCCTTCGCGCTCGCTCGGCTTGTCGGCATCGGCAGCCTCGTCGTTCTGGCTGCGCTTCCACTGATGCGCGGCGGCACCTTTGCTCTCCTTGGCCGGCCTGGGCACACGTACATCGTTGACCGTGCCGAACTTGGTGCACTCGTCGCGGATGTCCTCGACAATGTCGGCGTACTCTTCGTCATCCTGCAGCTCTTCGGGCGTCACCATGTTGAGCATGACCATGCACGATGTCGGCTCGCCCGCATCTCCACCTGCACCAGCGAATTGCTGGACCGAGCTGGGCACGCCAAGTGCTCCCACGTTGGCCCCAGATGCGGCGATCGCCTGTGCCTTCTTCTCGCTTCCAACGCTCGCGCGCTGCACCACGAGGTTGCGGTCGCCCAGCTCCATGCCGTTGAGGCCCTGGCAGGCGAGATCGGTGAGTGCAGTGTCGACGTACTCGCAGAATGCGAATCCTTTGGAAGCGTTCGTCGCCGGGTCCTTGACAAGGTTGAACGAACGCAGCTCGCCAAAAGCCTGAAGCAGCTCGATGACTTGATCGTCGGTGAGATAGGTGGGCAGGCCACCGACGAAGATCTTGAACGGTGAGTCAGGCACATTGGTGCTGATCACGCCAGGCACATGGATGCTCGACGGTGGGCGCACGTCGGGGCCGGTGTAGTCCTTGGGCCTGCGGATCTTGAGCGACTGGCCCTGGAAGACGATGCCGTCGAAAGACATGGCGTTGGTCGCCTCGTCCGGATGGCGGAACTCGACGAAGGCGTAGCCCTTGTCCACGTTGACCTGCGCCGAGACGGCCGGCTCGCCAGGCTCGGTGCCGAGCTTGAGCTTGAGCATCTGCTCGTTGAAAAAAGCCACCATGCTGGGTTCGTTGGCTTGGTGGGTGATGTTGCCGACGTAGAGTCGACGCGCCTGTCGGCCGCTGTCAGCTGTTGCCAGTGCTTGATTGTGGGAAGCCGGGTGACCCTGCTGATACTGGCCCGCGAAGGGAGGCTGTCCCTGTGTATATTGCTGCCCATCTTGCGGGTACATGCCGGGATGTTGCTGTTGATTTTGGTGTGGCGGATAGGGCTGCCTCGGATGCATGGGCCCGCCACGATGCGGGTGGATGGGTTGACCGCCCATGTGGGCGGGCGGCAAGGGCAGACCTACACCGGGGGGCACGCCGGGACCGTTGACGCCGAGATTGACGGGCGGCATTCCGACGAGCCTGGTTTGACCTGGGATGCCGAACAACCCAGTGGCCTTGGCGGCCAGAGCGCTCGTGCCTTCAAAGCCGGGTGCAGGAATATCCCACTTGGACTTGGGCCTCGGCCGTTGGCTGATACGGATCGTACCTTCTGGCGTCGGGCTGCGGCGCATCGACGGGCTACCATCGCGAGCATCGGCACTTCGCCAGTCACCACCGCGGCCGCGGCCGCCTCTGTCGCGGTAGTAATCGTCATCGTCGTAACGCGAGCGTTCTCTGCGTGCGGGATAGCGATTTTCGCGGTCGCGGTCGCGCCTGTAAGAGTAGCTGTCTCGGCCATACCCCCTGTCCCTGTTATCACGAGAGCCCCTGCTGCCTCCGTAGTAGTCGTCTTCGCGCCTTCTGCGGCGACGGTCGTCGTCTTCGTGACGGTCGGATCGCTCGCGGTCGCGGTCATCGCGGTGCGACTTGTGAGGATACCGATCGTGCTCGTCGCGGTCGTCGGCGTCGCGCCGTTTGCGGGAGCTCGAGGAGGCGCTGCGATCTTCTTCATAAGCGTCTCTGCCGGATCTACGGTCTCTCCTGTCCCTGTCGCGGTCATGATCCCGATCGCGGTGCCTTGCAGAGGAGCCGTGGCGGTCTTCGTTCTTTCCGCGGACTTCCCTGTCGATGCCCGCCAGGAAGGCGTCGGCGGAGTCGGTCATGATGATTCAGCACCGTATCAGAAGCGGCGCTAGAGTGTGACCGAGGCGAGAAGGGGAGAGAGGTTGGTAGACGTGCGTCGAGGAATCGAAGGAAGCAGCTGCTGCGGATGCGTCGACGCGGCAGCGGATGCAGCCCGAACCGCACACAAAATTCCACTTTCGACTTTGGCTGTCAGTTTCTTCGCATCTCCCGAAATCCGCAAATTTGGTCCCAGGGTCCGCGCGCTCAAGCGCTGCAGAGAAGCTTGCGGCTGGGAATTCCACATCATTTTGGTCGGAAGGGCCGCCTCCCTTCCTCCTACCCTTCAGCACCGCCAACAATCTCCGATCATCTGCTGCTCAGGACACGCACTAGAGGGTATCGACGCAGTCAGCCATGTCGAATCCTGCCGCAGTATGGACAGAGCACCGCACGCCCCAGGGTCGGCCCTACTGGTTCCACACTATCGAGCGGCGCTCGGTGTGGGAGAAGCCGTCAGAGCTCAAGACGCCCCGCGAGCGTGCACTCGAAGCCACGCCGTGGAAGGAGTACAAGTCTGGCGAACGCTCCTACTACGTCCACAGCGTCACCAAGCAGTCCACTTGGACGCTGCCTCCCGAGCTCAAGCAGATCCTCGACCAGTATCCGGCGGACGGTAGTGCCGCTAGTCCCGCATCCACGGGGACGCCATCTTATGGCAACAATGCACACTCGCCCGCCCTGGCACAGTCGGCCAACAATGCCGTGCCTAGTCCGTTCCCAGCAACAGGTCATCTGTCACCACTCGCATCGACTCCAATGTCTTCAAGAACTCCAGGCGCGCTCTCTCCCAATCCGATGTCCCGGGCCTCGGGCTCCAACACACCTCTCGCTGGCTCGGCGGCGCCTTCTTTTAATCCAGCGGGATCAGCTCGAGGCTCGAATATGGCTCAGTCCATGTCGGGTGCGATAGAGCTCAACTTCAAGGGCGACAAAGAAGCGGCAGAAGCGGCATTCATCCAGCTGCTCGAGCAGACGGGCGTCGATATCGACTGGACCTGGGAGACGACGATGCGCACCATCATCACCAATCCGCTCTACAAGGCGCTCAAGACCATCGCCGAGCGCAAGGCCGCCTTCCACAAGCACATCGATGCGCTCCGCACCAAGCGCGCCGAGGAGGCTGCCGCGCGTCTGGAGCAGCTCAAGCCGCAGTTCAAAAAGCTCCTCACGAGCGACGCTCGCATCAAGAGCTACTCGAGCTTCGCCACGGCCAAAAAGTTTCTGGGCGACACGCCAGTGTGGAAGAAGAATACGTCGGAAACCGAAGCCAAGTCGGTGTTCGCGGCGGCAATGGGTGAGATACGCCAGGCAGAGCAAGAGGCGGAAACCAAGCTGCGCGTGCGCAACAAGGAGATGCTGCTCGCGCTGCTCAAGACGTTCGAGGCCGACGTGTTCACGCGCTGGCGCGACGCGCATCGCACCATCCTCGAGTCGCAGGAGTACACCGAGGACGAGCATCTGGGCGCGATGGACACGAGCGACATGCTGGCGGTGTTTGAGGAGCTCATGCAGTCCATCGAAAAGGACGCCGAGGCGGCCAAACGCGCCGAAGCCGATGCGAGGCGCCGCAAAGAGAGGCAGAACAGAGATGCCTTTCGCGCCCTGCTCAAGAAGCTTCAGGCCGAAGGACAGATCCGCGCACGCTCCACGTGGGGTGAGGTGTTTCCGCTGCTCAAAGACGACCCAGACTTTGTGCGCGCCGTGGGTCAACCGGGCTCTACGCCGCTCGAGATGTTCTTTGATCTGGTCGATGACCTGGACCAGGAGCTGGAACGCCAGACGGCCGATGCACTGCAGCACGCGTCCAAGGCGGGCCACCAGGTGACGCCGACCACGACCGAGGCCGAGTTTCTCGACTGGACGGCTGGCTGCGGTGTGCCCGACGCCACGCTGCGCCAGATCTACTCGGAGCTCGTCGCGTATCTCGCCGAGGAAGAACAGCGCAAGCAGGCCGAAGAACGGCGTCGTCTGGAACGTAAGCATCGCCACCGCATTGAGGACCTGCGCTATGCATTTAAGAAGATCGATCCTCCCCTCGACCTCGATGCATCGTTTCAAGACATCAGCGCGCGCGTCAGCGATCTTCCAGAGTACAAAGACGCACTGGCGGACGATGAGAGGATCCCAGAGTGGGCGTGGGACAAATTCGTCCGCCGACAGCGCGACAAGCTCGCCGAAGCCGACCGCACCGACTCGGAGTCAAGAAAGCGCAAAGATCCTCCCGCTCCCAACGGCACTGCTTCGGAAGCCGCTCCGACGCAACACGCCGCTACTGCTCAGCCTAAACGCGCCCGCAGAGACGACGAATCCGAGCCAGAAGAAGGCGAGGTCTGATCCTTTTCCCCACATTCATGCCCCCCAAGACGCTCTGTATTCATGCCTCACAATAGCATCGCCTTCAGAGCCAAGATCCAAAGTATGCTGGTGATAAGATCACAGATTCACGACAGGAGATCGAGAGGACGAGACAAGAGTAGTACATGGGGCGGGGAACGACGATGCACAAGGGACGCTGACAGGCAAGCAGCGGGATCATGCAGGCCGCATGCGGGGAAAGAGCTTCCAGATGTGTGAGAGAAACGGATGAGGGAATCGACGCGGGCAGCTGCGTTCACGCCATGGGGATGCCTGCCGGGTTGTTTGCCGAAAAGATGAAGAGGTTATTGGTGGCTGCGATGGCGATCGTGTTCTCGCGCGGATGGAAGCTGGCATGCAGGATCTTCTTGTTAAAGTCCGGATTGTCGAGGTTGACCTGGCCTGGTGCGCCGAGCGTGCTGTTGGCGCCCTTGTTGCCCTTCTTGCCCGCGCCCGCCATGCGCTTGGCCTTGAACGCCGACTTGTCCGCCTGCAGCACCACGTCGGAGCTGTCGTCCTTGTCAAACACGTGGAAGTAGTTGTTGTAGCTGCCCGTCAGCACCTTCTTGCCATCGGGTCCCCACAGAGCCTCGAACTTGTCAAAGATGCAGTCGTTCTCGTACAGGTCGCACAGCTTGGAGCGCAGATGGTCGTGGATGGGGATCGTCTTGACCGGCTTGTTGTCCATGTTGACGTCCCAGATCTTGAGCGTGAGGTAGTCGCGCGACAGGATGTAGCGTCCGTCGCGGCTGAACTTGACGTCGGATATGCTGCTGATGATCTCGCTGAAGAACGACTTGGTCGACGGATCCTCCTCCTCCTCAAACTGCTTGGCGTGCGCATCGCACAGCGCCGAGTCGCGCATGTCGGCGAGCTTGATCGTACCCTTGGAACTCGAGTAGACAAACTGGTTGCAGTGGATCGGGTGGAACTCGGCCGCCGTGATGACCTCTGTGAGCTCTTCCATGTTGACGGGCTTGATGTCGACAATGTTGAAACTTTGGTCGCTGATGTTGAGGTTCCACAAGTTGATACGCAGGTCGTCCGCACTGATATACGTCTCGCCATCCGAGTTGACCGAGACCGAGTTGATGTGGTACGCATGCGCGTTGGCGAAGATCTTCCTTGGGACCGCGGCGATGATGGTGTCGACGGGTGTGAGACGGGGCAGACGCAGACCGATACCGCTGCCGACGACGGGTTTGGGGATGGGCAGTAGTGATGGATGCACGTCTGGGTCGCGCATCTGGCCATACTCGGTTCCGTTGTGATTGTTCTCGGCGACGAGCTTGAGCGTCTTTTCGAACACCTTCCAAAGCTTGATGGTCTTGTCTGTTGGGGCGGGAAAGAGCAGCAGAAAGCGATCAGCCTCGTGTGTTCGCGGACAAGTAGTACGGATGCACTTACCATTTGTGCTAAGCAGGAAGTGGGCGGCGTTTTGCCTCCTGCACCACTTGATCTTGTTGATCTTTTCCTCGATCTCGAGCGATTTGAGGTAGTCGAACTCGGGCTCGTGGGATTGGAACTCGGTGTGGAACTTGTACTCGCAGCCCTTTTTCTGATGGGTTTGCACGGCGGGTAGAGTAAGAAGATGAGCGCCGTGGTCAGCTGATGTCAGAGCACACAGCAGTCAGAAGAAAGAACTCACGGAGTCGTTGCGCTCGAAGAGAACCACACGACCACCCTTGTCACCCGTAGCGAGGTAGTCGCCCGTGTGATCGAATTCGACGGTTGAGATGATGTCGGCTGTACGATCAGCAGATACGCCAGAAGAAAGGGTTGAGATGATATCAGTGGATCGGTTCTGATTCCTGAAAGAGCAGCGAGATGCGGGAGACCGCAAGTTCGACTGCGTCCTCATTCTCGCACGGGGATCGGCGACGCCCGAACAGGACAGCCAACACGTTGCCCCGGCATCCGGCGAAAGGGAAGGGAAGCTTACCTTCGGTGATCTCTTCGACTTCGCCCTTGTCTCCGAAGCACTGCGCAAAGCGCCAGCCTCCAGAAGGGTCACCTTCCTTCTCCATTATGTCGAGTTAGGGGGGATCGCAGCTTCGCGTTGGTGTGCGTGCGTGATACGCGGTGGCCGAACTGACTGTAGCCAGCAGAAGCGCGTTGTCGGAGTCGGGAGCCGGTGCGGACAGGATGAGCAAGGTATCGTTCCTGTCGCTTTCGCACGCGTGTTTTGGATCTAGGTGCGGGTGGGTGCGGATGGAGGCGGAGCGTTGCTCGCTTGGCGTGTTTTCCGACGCTGATAACACGTAGATCGAGCGGATAGGAGGCTGCGGACGGAGCAGCAGCAGCGTAGCCGTCTAGACGTAGGCGCAAGGCGAGAAGAGAGATACGTAGCGTTCGTTGAGCGTCGTATGGTGTGTCGGATGTCGAGCGCTGCAGGCTGTTGTTTGCTGACTCGTGCAGAAGCTCACGGGGCTTGGCCTAGTCGCGATCGATGTGCCGAGGATCGACGTCTGGAAGTAGCGCACTCTGGTCTTCGCGTGTCGTTGTTCGTTCGTGACGATAGCAAAGGTGCGGCAAGCGGAGCCCAGGACGATGTTTTTTTCGCGATGGAGATGGTGGAAAGGGATGCGGGCAGCGTTGGTGGAGGGCGATTCGGGTGAATGATTGGCCAGCCAGTTTTCTGCCTGATCGGTGCAAAGCGCCAACGCCAAAAGTGCGGCTCGTGCCCAGTCTCTCGCTCGCCTCGCCGCCTCGCCCTGTCGCCCAAATACCGAAGCTGCCGGTCGGGAGCTGCGCTGTCTGGATCGGCTGCCGTTTTCATCGAGGAACATCCGCTGAAAATCCAAAAATCGCGAAAATCGGGGAGTTCTGGGCGTGGGTAGACGGGTGACTGCGCTGCTGATCAGTGCATTCAGTTGGCACGTCCCATCGTGGGGCGGGTCAGGAAAGGGGGAAATGACCTGCCCCTCCCATTTTCGAATAAAATCTCGACTTGGAGCTCCGCACACGGCCCTGTGACTGTAGCAGCCCTTGACCGCGTACAGACGAGGCAGCACACAGTGTATGTCGTGCTACGCTGTCTTAAGCTCGCTCTCACCGAGACCCGCATCGTAGTAGGGAACCCACGCTCATGCAATGACACACATCCCTGAACTTGTGCGGTATTCCTAGTCGATCTGGAGGCACAGTCATAGCCTGCGTATCGGCTCCCTCCACTGCGGGACCCGTGGGGCTCTGAAAAGCTATCTTGCGCGTCGCGAGCTACAAACCTCTTCCATCCGCGCACGGTTCACGTGTTCCTAGCTGTCCTTCTGTTCGAATCCGCCTACTCGCAACGGCGGGCGTTGAAGCGCGGCATCGTCTGCTCTCGCAAGCTGGTAAATGCATCAGACCACTCAACGAGAGTTGGCCTGGGCGTTTGGGATCGCTGACGTGCTTTCCAGTGCGAGTGCGAACGTCGTTCGTTCGGGATCCTACAGCACCTCAGCAAAGTCACGATGGAACACCGACAAAAAAGGCGCAAAAATTGGGGAGGAAAAACATGGATTTTTTTACGCACAGGCCAGCGACAAGGGCATGTTCCTACCAAGATCGGGTTACTGTACCCGATGTGCCCGATGCCGATTGGCCCTCTGCCTTGCATCGAACTACGTGAGTGCCTCTGTACCCGCTTGCATGTTCGAAGCCATCTACATCGAGATCGATGCGAGGGCACCAGCAAGCAGTGCAGGAAGCACGAGAAGGGCGATCCGGGGCCCGGCGGTAGCCATGGCGCCGTTGGCTTTCGACGGAGCTGACGTCGACGAAGTGGAAGCCGGCGAGGTGGAGCTGGAATTGGAGCTCGAGCTCGAGCTGCCCGAGGTGAGCGAGTCGGTGCAGGTGAGATTGGCGCCGACGCTGGCATCCGAGGTGAAGGTGACGTCCGAGCACTGATACAGGTGTCCGTGCACGTTGTTGATGTACTCTACCATGATCGTAGCGTTGGTGCCATCGGTGACGCGCACGCCGGGAACGTCGAGGCTCGAAGCATTGGCGTGGAAGCAGAACTCGCCCTCGCCCGTGATGGCGATGTTCTGGCGCAGAGGAGGCACCGACGTGCCGTTCGACGTCTTGAGGAACGATTCGGAGCCAGTCGGCACGTCGAAAGAGATATAGATGTTGACCGTCGCCGAAGTGTGGTGGCTGTCAATCTGCACCGGTCCGTTTCGGTAGTACCATGGCTGGCGCGGCAGCGAGACGTTGTAGAAGCCGCCGCAGAAGTTGTCGTCCTCCTTGTCCTCGTCGAATCCACGCGTTGTCGGGTAGTCCAGGGTGAAGTGCGCAGCTGCGGACGAGGCGAATGCCAGCACAATCAGGGGCAGTCCGAACTTCATGATGCGGAATGTATGTCGAGGCAGGTTTGCCAGGTTTGTCAGGAAGGGGCTGGAGATGGGAGCGGAGATGGGTCGTGGACCGGAAGAGACGACACTACGCAACACTGTGCCCTCTTTATAAGCTGCCTAGGCTTCGCAGGGACAGAGGGGCCCCGAGCAACAGTGCCAACCAGACACAGAGTGGGTCGACTGGTCGCGAGATGAGCTCGTGGCAGGCAGATCTCAAGGCCCCGGGTGCCTTGCGCGTGCCGCAGGTGGCAAAGTGCCGGCCTCCCGCGAACGAGGCCGCCGCCGGAGAGCCTGCGGGCGGGAAAGGCTCCGAGGAAGCTTGTCTTTCAACTTGAGATTTGGTGGCCAGGTGCGGGCATCAGAAGCACGCTTTATTCCAGCCGAGCGGGAGAAAGGGTCCCGGCGGGGCATGAACGCGCCACCAGTTCGGTTCGCCCCTGGGATCCTGCAAGGCGCCAGCTGTTCGGGGAGAGCCTGGAACAAGAATGCGAAGAAAAAGGCTCCGAGCGCCCACCTTGCTGCAGCCTGTCAATTGTCTCCTGACCGCTCCAATCAGCGACCTCGTCAAGGCTCACCTTTACATACGCTGCAGCTTCATGGAGACTGTGGCGTGGATGGCTTCGAACCTGCAAGTCTGTCGAACGACATCGCCAGGTCAAAGTCGAGGTCTCCTTCGTTCAAAGCCACGTGGTGAACCATGTCTAAAAACAAGTGAAATGTTACATCGAGCAAAATGTCGTTGAGGAAAATCGAAGTGAGAAGGCTCGGGTTGTGTGACGGTGTGGAGGGCGAGCCGCGCAGAGTGATGTCACTCGAGGCTGCCTTTCGATGGAGGCAGCTGGGCTAGGCTTGACACCTGTCCGCCTTGGCCCCATCCACGAATAGACCCTGAATCGTCGCTGTTGGTGCGTCCGCTGCTGGTCGATCGGCAGCCCAGGTCACACCGCGTATGCCGCACGCGTGTTCGAGCAGCGCTCGCAAAGTCGTCCGTGCGTGCGGCGGTGTCCGGATTACTAACGCACCGCTTCCGGACGCACACCGTTGCAGCTCGCCTCGCATCGCCAACCGGCATGATTCCGTCACTCTCTCGACTCAACAGGCTTACCCACGTCGCTCAACCATCTTGCCTCTCGACCACCACCACCACCATTGCATCTGCCGTCTCCATTCGCAACCATGTCGCTTCTTCGTACCTCCGCTCCCGTCTTCTCGGCCGTCCGGGCCGCTGCCGCCCGCCGCACCCTCATGACCTCCACCGTAAGTACGACGGCGCTGCGCCCCCTGTGATGGACTCGAAGCTGACATCTTTCACTCATTCTCTGTTCGAACGATAGGTGAGGCGAACGGACGACCCTCGCGTGCTCAACAAGGACACGCACTCGGGCGCCTCTGTCAAGGCCGACAAGCACGACAAGGACCCCAAAACGCTCCAGAAGGAGACCGCCCAGGCTGCCAACCAGTCGGGCTCCACCTCGTCGTCTGGCGCTCCCACCAACTCGGAGGATGCCGTGCACGGCGAGAAGCACTCCAAGTCGCCAGATCAGCTCCAGAAGGAAACCGCACAGAAGCACCAGTCCTAATACTCCAGCCTGACTCGCATGCCGCTCACTCACATTTGCAATCCCAAGCTTCAGCGCACGTTCGAATTAAAGCCACGAGCCCTCTCGACATTTGCCCGATCCCAAAAGTACGACTATGAATACAGCGCGCGGTTCGACTCATCCGCCACCCTGATTGCCGAAACCAAGCGCGTACGCTGGTGCATCGGCCTGGTTCCACCGCGCTGCGGGATTTCCAACAAAGGCAGCTTGGTTCCCCAACCCGGCGTATGCATCCATCTGACCACCCTTGTCGCCAACGCCAACAGCGAATGCATTCGACGTCCAGCCGGGTCCGTGTGCGTATGCCGGCGAGACAGGCAGCGGCATTGCCCCGTCCATTCCCACTGCTGCCTGCAAAGTATTGCCTGCTCCTGGCTGCCAGGAAGCTGTCGCAGAGCCCTGGACGTTTGCGGTCGGATACAGCAGATCTGGACTGCCAAAGCTCGACCACGCTTGCGCATGCGGTAGCAGACCACACACCGGCGACTGCGAGGCACTTGCTGAGCCGGGCCATTCAGCACCGAGACTCATGACGCTAGCAGCACCCGGCGACGTAAATGGCATACCCGAGGGCCGCACCATCGCCACCTGCGGACTCACGCAGCGCGACCCCGCCGAGTCTGGTGGCAGCAATGACGGTGGCGTCTCGATGCTCGACGACGGCCGTCGAAACACCGAATGCAGCGGGACGCCAGATGAGAATGTGTTGTCCGTCGCGGGTCCGATGGGCGAAGGCGGCTGCGAAGTGGACGTCGCCCTCATCGAGGGAGTAGGCACTGACGAAGTGTTCGGAGAGCCGGAGCGATTCGGCTGCGAGAGCCGACGCAGCAAGGGAATCGTGCCTATCTGGTTCGGAGACTCCTTGCGCTTCTGCCCGGCGCGAGCGCCCGGATACGGGAGCTGACTGGGCTCCAGCACCGACATGCTCTGCGTTGGTGGCAATGCTTGGCTCGGCTGCGGAGCCGGGCTCAGCACGCTTGGAAGCGGCTTGGACGGCTGCAGGCCGTGCAGCATGGCGAGGCGCTTCTGTGCTTCGTTTTGAGCCGTCTGCAGGCGGGTCACGCGCTTCGCGAGCGCCTGCGCCTCGGCGGCGCTCAAAGCCTCAATGGGCTTGGCGCCAAAGTTCATCATGTCCATGCATTGTTGGATGAGTACGCGGCTGGCCGGCCTTGCGAGCCCGATCCTATTGCTCGCCTCCAGGTCTTGCGGCGACAGGGCGGAGCCTGGTCCTCGCTGCTGCACCGCCCCCGGCTGTTGAGGTTGGGTAGACTGGTTGCAGTGTTGGCCGCGAGTGGACGCAGTGGCTGCCGATTGTTCTGCCGACTTTGCCAGGACAGAAGGTTGCGATCGAGGTGGCTGCTGAGGCCAGATGTGCGCAGACGCAATGCGACCGCCTTGACTGTGCCCGCCATGTTGGATCGCACTCAGAGGTGCTGTGGTCGGCTGCGATTGTAATTGCGATGCCGTCGCCATTTGGCCGGTTGAAGCTGCATCGCCGGCCTCGGATGCGCCACCGAACTGCACTGCCTCGAGTGCAGCTGAGCTGCTCTGCATGTGTGCCGATGGCGTCGGGTCCATCTTTTCAGCCAGAAGTTGCGATAGGATGACCCACCATTCAAAGAGCAGACTCTGTGGTGCATCGATGGGCGGTGCCTGCTGCTGGCTGAGGCCGGCTTCCGCACTCAGGGCGAGCGCCGCCTGTGTGTAACCGCGCTTGCGCAGGTAGTCGCAGAGGTAGACGTGCAGCATTTCGTCGCCTTCCCAGCCTTCCCAAGAGGGGCCGGATGCTGACGACACCGAGGGTGCCATGATCGCTCGCGTACGCCCGATGCGTGGTGTCGCGTGCAAGCTTACACGACTGCCTCGAGTTGGAGGGCTCAAGCGAGGCACGCTGGGTCATCGACGAGATGGGCCTGACGAGACCACGCCATCCGGTGCGGGATTCCTGGAGGCGCGAAGAAGACTGCAAGACGTAGTGATGGTCGGCAAGGGCCCCAAGAAACGTCGTGAACGATGTGCGTCACACGCCGTCGAGGGGCCGAACGATGGCGACGAGCGGAAGCAGTATCCAGGAGACCGAGTGCGGGCTGTGGATCCAATCCGGTCGGTCGAGCCAGGTGGGCAGAAGGCCAGGCTGAAGCGTCAACGTCGACGTCGATACGAGTAGGTACGTCCAGAGTGGGGTCACACGAGCTGCGGCGCTCGGATTTGCGGATGAGGAGGCATGACCATCAACGAGGACGATGGTAGAGTGGGAAGGAGAGATGAAGCATCGAGTGCTGCGGCTGTCGTTGCTGCACAGAAGCGATCCGATCGACTGGTCGATGTTTGAGGCGAGGCCTAGGACCCCGTCTTGGTGCAGGCGAGCAGAGGCGGCATGGCGGGCAAGAAACAAGGTTAACAGTATGCTGCGCCAAAACAGGGCAAGGGGGAAGCGGGATGCACAGGGCTGCAAGGCATGCAGCTGGTCTGCGCCACTCAATTTGCCGCCGCAGGGTGTGCGTTGTTTTGCAGTGCCCATTGTCACCAGCTGAGCTTACTTTGAGACGGTGGAAAAGCCAAATCTGCACAGCATAAGCAGCGAGGTATCGAACCTGGAGCTTCTAGACTCGAATCAGAAGATCCCGCGCCCAACTCAGCACGAGCGGCAGTGCCGAGCCGAGGCGGCGTGAAGAGAAGCGTGACATTTCGGCAGCGTCGCCACGCGCGAGTGCGGGAGTGGAGCTGCAACCAGGCGCATCGAGGCGGATAAAGCCACGAAGCGAGCCAACGTCAGGCCGAGCTGGGAGAAGCCGGTACCGAAATTCGGTCGGGCGAATCGTTAAGCGCAGCTGCAACGCTTGAGAACTTGGCGCGGTCGGAGTAGCATCGGCTGGGTTTCAGGTTCCTGGCCATCCCTCCTTCCACACGCACCCAATTTCCCAATCCGAACCGGCCAACCGCGCTCTTGACGGGTACACTCTGCCGACCAATGCGCAATGGCACATGTCCATGCAGCGCTAAGCCGAACTCGCTGCAGGAGTCTGACGACACAGCACGATCGGCATCGCTGAGTCGTACGAATCGTCGCCGAATCGAATTTGCAAATGCAGCGAGTCGTGCGCGGTGCATGCTCTCGCTCGAGCTTCCTCTGACGCGAGCACCAACTTGGTCTTGTTCTGCCGTTGCGTCTTGGCATCGGTCCGTCTCGGTTACCCGATACGGCTCTTTGTCGGCTTCATCCCGCTTTCGGCACGCGTGCAGGGAAGGTAGGCAACGTGCCGAGAAATGAGAGCACCATGCACCATGCACCTTGCGCCATGTGCGCATGTTCTTTAACCGATCCCACGCACCCGGCGCGAATTTCATTTCCGTCCTTTTTTCGGCAAGAGGTCTCGACCCTCGCTTTCCTTCTTCGGCTCATTCCCGATCGACACCCCCGTCCCACCGCCCAAAGCTGCCCCCCCCCTCCC